CTTTTTTTAAGCTTTAAATGTTTCTCATTCAATTCCCATGTTGTCTTTCACCCATTTATTCTCCCGATTGGCCAGCGCAGGATCTCCGGGGGGGGGGATTGCGGGTAAGGATGGGAGGATAGGCGGGGGTGGGATGTCCTACTTGCTTTGCCCTTGCGTATGCTTGCTCCACCTGTGGCGTTGCATCAGATTGGGTTCGGATTCACTCCTTTGCAATTGTTCGTTCTCCTCTTCCTGTTTCACATGCCTTCCAATAATACCTTCCAATGACCCCTGTCTTTTAACTCCTTCTGCGACTCTCCCCTCCTCCTCACCACTTGGTCCGATCTCTTGGTTTTTCCTCCCTCTATGACTTGTCGACAGAGGTCGTCTTCAGCATGTGATACACCGATCTCCTCCCGTTGCCATCTCCTCTTCGGTCTCGCCCCGTTCCTACCCTCCCAATTCTATCTCCTCTATATGGTCCTTGCTCTCCTCTGTTTTCAACCCCTCGATGTCTCTCTGAAAACCGCGGCGATCCTCGCCTGCTGCACTCACTACGACGGACCTCTATATATGCTCTATCACTTTCTCTCGCCCCGTCCTCTTTACCACTTGGTCCGATCTCGAGGCCGTCCTCAGCATGTGTTTCACCGATCTCCGCTCGTTCTCTCCCACACTCCTCTTCAATCTCGCCCTCTTCCTTCCTTCTCGATTCTCTCTCCGCCCTATGGTCCTTGCTCACCTCTGTTCTCGACCCCTCGATATCTCTCTGAAAAACCGTGGCGATCCTCACCTGCGGCACACACCGCGACGGGCCTCGCCTTCACTTTCCCCTCTGTTCACGTCCCTTCGATGTCTCTCTGGAAGCCATCGGGGCTCTACACGTGCCTCGTCGCCTTCACTCTTCCTCTACTCCCCGCCTCCCGGGCCGATCTTTCCGTCTTGATCCTCTCTTCTTCTCGCCCGTTCTTCTCCCACATATCTCTTCAAATCCCACCCCTCTTCCTTCCCCTTCACTCTCCCCTCTATTCACGTCCCTTCGATGTCTCTCTGAAAACCGTCGGGGCTCTACTCATGCATCGTCGCTTTCACTCTTCCCCTACTCCCCGCTTCCGGGACTCGGTGTCTCAATCCTCTCTTCTTCACGTCCGTTCTTCTCCCACATACCTTTTCGATCCCTCCCTTCTTCGTTTCTTCTTGATATTATCTCTTGTCTATAGTCCTTCCTTCCTCTGTTCGTGTCCCTTCGGTATCTCTCTGAAGATTCGTGTCGATCATCGCCTGTCGTAGTCGACTTTCAATTCCCTTCTTCTTCTCCCTCCCCCCAGCCGTCATTCCCCTACCTCAATCCCCTTTTTTACTCGCTTCCTTTCCGTCCTTTCTGATACTTCCTCCCCTCCTGTAATCCTGCTCATGTCGTCGCGATGTCACGCTGAGGATTCGTCCGCCCGTCACTGACCGTGGTATTATCGGTGGAGACTAACTTGCGCCACTCTGCTTTCATTCGGTTCGGACAGCCCAAGCCTTCTCGGCTACCACCCATCGACGCCTGAAAGCGTTGGTCGCTTTCCAGTGCCTTAGCTTGGCAGCAGCTATGGCGGTTCTCGCAGGGGGCTAGGGTTTCCAAAGGGTTCTGCCCCTCGTATTACCCCCATCCTACCCAGTGGCCACGTCAGCCTGTGACGTGGCGTTGGTTAGCGCCCGGTTGTTTGGTAGTAACTCCAATGGACCAGCCGACAAAATTTTCCTGCCGGTGATGGGTGCCCTCGCCGCTCCGATTATCATGGATCCTTCACCTCCGAGGGACCTCGGGAGGTACCTTGGGGGAGGCCGCAAAATGGCTGTAGCCCGAGGATGCCCCGAGGAAATGTTTTCACTTTCTTTTTCCATCCTTTTCCCCGAGGACAGCTGGAACGATGATTTCCTTGGGAAATTTCCTCGCCCGCAGAGTGTCTAACGAGCCCCTCATAGGCTAATACCTAGCAGAGGTATCAAGCGGACTATCATCGATGGTTGGCACTAGGTGCGCCGCCACAGGAGGTTGTGGAGCCCGAACCCACGACGTACTGAATGCGACTTGCATGCCCTTTTTTTTTTTTTTTTTTTAAGCCCAGGTTGTTGTAGAGGCTGGGTTACAGACATATGAGAGTCACCTTCAGCACTTGGCCATGTGGTAGAGGCCCCCTAATCCTATGGGACTCCCTCCCAACCTACCTCTTTCGTAATATCTCCCTGCGCAATCCTACTCCCACTATCCTACCTCAGTGTCTACCACTCAGGATCGTCACCCTTCAGCCTGGGGGTGACCTGACCGAACTGTGGTTGTAGGTACCAGGGCTAAGCTGAGTCCCACACACCCCACTCAGCCGATCGAAGCATATTTGTGGTAGCCTTGTCGCCCAGGTACTTCAGGCACTAGGTACAGACGTTTCACTGCAAGTCCCATGGGTGGACCTATTTTGCGTTCCTATCGTTGTGTACACTGAGCTAGGCCGCTGGATGAAAACTGGTTTCTGGCAATAATCCAGGTTTTTTTTTTTTTAATATACAGGCTTGCTTTTATGTGGACTCTTTTTGCCTTGTGGCAAGGCCCTGTTAGGCATTTGAGCAAACGGCCGAGAGTACGGAGAATTACCCCTGACGCTTTTTGAAAAGGAGGCCAGGGGAAGAGTTCGTGACCTCCTAGGCTTTCAACCTTTTTTCTTCTTTTTTTTTCCCAACCTTTTTCCACTTGTACGTCAATAAAGACAGTGTACTTCTTTTTTTTTTTTTCAAAAAAAAAAAAAAAGACAGTGTACTTCATTTGTAGATCAATCTAGTTTATCCATTTGCAATACCAGTGTGACCTCCTGGCATCTGTCAGTAGTCTGTCAGAAGTGTCAGACTGACGAAGAAGTGAAGAAGGCATCAAAGGGGGCATTCGCTGATGGCGGCACCAACGTCAAAGATACCGAATTACAGCAAAGCTAATTGCACAGGAATCCCTCCCTCGGAAAAGTGAAGTGGATGATGCTTGTCAGGACTGTCAGATGATCCACACCCCTTCGTTTTCCCCTTTTCAGTTGTTTCAGAATTTTTTTGCTCCACATTTGAATGACAACTTCGGAAGACTCGAGCGCCTAACCCTTCGAGTCCTATGTCTTGTTTTTTATTTTTTTCTGGACAATCTCTCAATATTTTTATTTTTATTTTTTATTTTTAGAAAGCCATATTCTTCTCTCAATTTCACCTCACACTACGGACCTACCACTACTCCTAATTGTAGGCATACGAGGAACCGCGTAGCAGCCAGAACCGTGTTCAGGAGAGAACATGCGGGGGCTGCTGCCGACCTTCAGGTGGGCGATACCGGCTAGGGGACAGCCGCTAGCATCAGGGACCATGCCAACAGCACCAATCCCTGTGCCTCCCCTCAGGTCCCCTCCCCTACCAACATCACCAGACTCTGCTCAATGCCGATCGGGGGATCCAGTGGTCTATCTCTAGG